GTTCTTTTTATCTACAGTGTCCTGAGACAACGGATGTTGGGACTTGGAGCTGTATGAATAAACTGAATTGAACTTGTTTTCGTCCCCAAACAATCCCACAAACCACTGCACACCACTTCCTGTAGGCAGTGCTAAACGGTATCCATGAATTAGTTCATGAAATGATTTGTCAGGATGCTAACGTCGCAGCATGGAGCTGAAATACTCTGCAGCTCTGTGGTGTWGGAGCTGTCAGTCAGCTGCCAAACACTAAATACTCTGATTACTCTGATTTCTGTGTAAATGTTGAGTCAGCGTTCACACGACTGTTCTCCTGTTTGTAGTTTCTTCTGTACATTTCTTGTTGGAACTACGTCAGCACATTTTCATCTCAGTCAGACTTTGAGGAAACATTCAGCTGGACTCAGCAGCGAGAGCAGAACCTGGTTTAAAGCCGGTGTCATCAGRAAAGAGGTGACGTACCAGCCTGAAGGAGCGCAGCACGCTCAGGCCRTCCACGTCCGACAGGCCCAGCTCCATCAGGCTCAGGCACACGATGATGCTGTCGAAGATGTTCCAGCCCGTTTGGAAGTAGTAGTACGGGTCCAGAGCGATGATCTTCAGAACCATCTCGGCTGTGAAGATCCCCGAGAAGACCTGAGGAGCAAACAGAGTTCAGGTCCAGAACATTCAGGTTAGGAGGACCAGCTGGTCTACACTCGCCTCAGGCCCTGAAAGGGTTAAAACCTGCTGCAGCAGGTGCCAGCATCACAAACAGGAAGTTCCAGGTTCTTCTACAGCCAAGTCAAACTCATTTTCACCGAGGGCCACATCAATGTTACGGTGGCCCTCAAAGGGCCAGTTATAGTTAACTTTGACTAAACTGTGTTTTAATGTGTCCTCTTTTACTGAGAAGAACCGAGTACGACTGACTAAACCTGAAATAAATACAGAAATATTATTAAAGTAAAAACTAACCACAGAAATTGCTTTTCCTGCAAAAATGCTAGTGTGAATGCCTGTTGCTGAAAACTTTAGCTGAAAGCTGCTGAAACTGAGCTGAAAATGTTTAATTCAAATGTATCACTGTAAGTTTGACTTAAAAACTGAACGAAGCAAAAAAAAGGCAGAAAATCAGTAAAATGGAGCAAAAATATAGCTMAATTAGCATAAAAAGCTAAAAGCTAAAAGCATATATAGTACAAATTAGCAGAAAAAAGCACAAATAAAGCAGAAAAACAGCAAAAACAAGTGGAAATATAGCTGTAATAGCAGAAAACAGCTAAAGTTAGCAAAAAAGTAGCCAAAATTATCAGAAGGGATTTAAAGAGCCTGTGACATGCCTATCTTTCAAATACAAAAAGTCAAAGAAAACATCTTTGTACTAAAGAAKYCTGGCATAGTGCACATGATTTTACCCATTTTGTCTCATAWCTGGCCTATTTTCTTTTYAACTTGTCTCAGTCAAAGTGAAACAGGAAGTGACATCAAAAGGGAACTCTTTATTAAAATAAACTCTCTGGTCTCTATTAAAACAAAATTATTTAAACTTTAACTCTTCTTCATCACTCTGATAGAAACTCAAAATAATCTACAGAAACATCAGATTCTTCTCTACAGTCTGTGTTGTTAGCTGTTGTAGCTACGCMCTGTTTACATGCAGACATTCCCCTCTGACATCACTTCCTGTTTCTTCACATGTGAATATCTCAACAACCGTTCATCTCAGCAGAGTGAAATTTGTTTTGCAATATTTTATCACCGTTATCTTTCCAAAAATGCATTCAAGTTTTTTTTTACAAAAAATTCAAGTCACAGGTACTTTAAAGGAAGCATAGACCAAATATTTAAATTATAAACAATTTGAAAGATTTTATAAAGTTGAACCAGAGCTCCATTCATTTTCAATGCCAAAAAAGTGGCTAAAAACGTGAAATAGCTAAAAAAAACTATAAATAGCTGAAATACCATGACATAGCTGGAATGACATGAAAGAGCTGAATGTTTTGATACATGAATTGTTGAATGTCATAACTACACATAAAGACATTCACACAAAGTTTTGCTCACCGGTGAGTTTATAGTGAGCAGCTGCATTATGTCAGATTTAGTTTATGTTTGATGGTGACTTTAAAGCAGCTTATTTTCAGACATTAATGTTGTTCTATCCAACTGTTACTTAAAGCCAACAGCTCAGGGGCAGGACAATTATTATTATTATCTTTCACCTTTTAAATTTATTTTGTTGCATTTAAGTTTACCATTGACATGAGAAACAATTTTCATGTTAAATAAAAAAAATAAAATCACATATGTCAAACTCAAAACCCGCAGGGCCCACTGCCCCTGCACATGTCAAACTCAAGGCCTGTGGGCCCGGGCGGTTCTAGGGGCGGGGCCACTGGGGCATTGGCCCCTGCTGAAATCTGTTTGGCCCCCCTGAAGTGCCCCTGTCCTGTCAGTCATCTGCCCTTTGCCTCAGAGCAATGGCTGCAGTTTCATGGCAGTAAAGTCCATCATG